AGGGGAGCGTGGGATGCTGGCACAATAGTGCTGGGAGCAGGGACTATGTCCTGCTGCAGTTGGCCCCTTCCTTCCAGAGCAGGCCGCACCTGCATCGTGTCCCTCCCTTATCCCAACTGGACAAGCGGCAGCAGGGCAAAGCCCCCGCTCTTGCACTGCAGCGCCCGTATCCCGCACCCCCCTGCCCCCCTCCCCAAGTCCCATGCCCCCCTGCCCCAGCTGGCCATACCAAAACTTCACACAGCCCTACTGTGCATGTCAAGAATCCAAGGGAGCCCCTGCAGCCCCCAGTGGTATGCAGCTTGTGACCTGTGGGGCCCCGGGCTTACAGCCAGTATGGCATGCAGCCCACAAATGATCTAGGGGCAGCCCTGGCCTAGCCACAATCACATTCATCCAAAGCTTCATTCTTCAAATTTAACCTTGTAAAAGTCCCAAGCTTATATTCCCCTGTTACAACCCAAAGGGTGTGATTTTTGTTTTTGTGTGCTTCGGCACTGCTAAAATGTTCCCGCTAAATTACAGCTTCTTTGCACGGTGGAGTTTTCTGCTGCAAAAGAGAACCCCGGTGCAAGGGAGAATTTCCCGCCAATTTGAAGCTTTCTTTGCAGGGTGCATTTCTTTGTTGCAGCACAGAAATGCTCGTTGCAAAGAGTTCCCGCCATTTGTATGCTAATTCGAGTCCCATTATTGGCCAGTTCTAAATTATTCACACGTGGCGGCTAGTGATTGGCTTGCTAGCCGTATAAGAGGCTTGAGTGGTTTCCGCCCAAGTTGGAGGACTCCACGAACAAGGGAGGAGGAGACTTCATGCTGTGTGAAGATCTCTAAGCGCTGTGGATCCTTATGGACCCAGTGCATTTAAAGCAGGCAACAGAGGTCTGATCAACCTCTAACCTCTCCCCATCGCCGAGCGCAGTCCAGACATATCCCTTGCCGCGCGCAAGAGAACCGAACCCACGGAGCCTAGCAAACTTCGTGTGAGTGAGTGAACAGAAGAACCCACGGAACCTAGCAAACTTTGTGTGAGCCCTTATGACTGGCCTCAGAGCTCTTCTACCCGGGTTCAAGTCCTGCAGGTTTATTTTCCCGTCGCCGAAACCCTTTGCGACGTACCCTCGTATTTTTCATCTTCCCGTCGCCGGAACCCTTTGCGACGTACCCTCGTGCCCTGCAGGTTCGAGTTTTGTTTTCTTTTCTGTCTGTAACTGCAACTCAAGCAAGTTTTCCTGCCTGCACCACTGCCATCTCGGTGTAAGTAAACAATCTTTAAAACTACCGATACACGTTTGTGCCTAATTCCAGCTCGACGGCCTTCCCTCTCCAACCCGGCATGCCCAGGCTGCTGGCCACAGCCCGCATGCAGCACAGAAAAGGGCTCGGGTCACTCCTGGCCCGCACATCCCCAAGGTGCAAAACCAGGACACCAAGTAGCTGTAGTTCAATGAGCATATAAACTGATCTAACAATATGTCCATCCTGCTGTGCTATCCTGCACCCTGGTAGGTCAGACCACCTGGTATTTGCAACCTCTGGATACAGCCTTCAATAACACTAACAAAATCTGTACCATTATGGGGAATGCAGGGGCTGTTGTCCTTATAACTATCGGGTCTGGAACATCCATCCAAGGAGTTTGCTTAATAAGAATTCCTCTCCAGGGCCAGTAAAATAAAATGGTTGTCTGGCAAGGTGACTAATTTTCATGAATGAAGGCAATACATGCTAGCCCAGAGATGCCACATTTCTTATGGTATGAAGCTCAGGTATAAGCCAGATATATCAGAGTCAGACTTCAGCTAAAGATCCTGTAAATTCCACCAGTTTCTCTTTGTACACCCCACTGAGCAAACACAATGGTGTTTTTGCCAATTCTAAAGCTATCAGGAGTCAGGGCTCTGTACCTCTAGGCCTTGGCTGGTGATTGCCATGGATTCATGGAATCTGTTCTCCTGAAATTGAGAGAGTATAAGCAGGGCCATCCTCTATGCTGTGGAAAATATCAATACAAATATTAGCAAAACACTTTCTCCAAAGGGCTCTCTTAAGAGAACATCATGTACAATCGAGCTTCAAAACCTATGAAACAAAGTTCATGACTTACAGATTACTGATTTTTTAAATGTGCTTATGCATTACAAACAGAGGAACTGGTTAAAAGGCAAAAGTGGTATCACTTGGAGGTAACATGTACTTCAGAAAGGTAACGTGTGTACTTCATAAAGTTTGCATTTTATAGAGTTCAACTTAATTTATATTCTGGAGAGGATGAACAGTCCTATGTTTTAGTTTAGGTCTTGGAAAACTGTTGTCAATTTCCTGCACGGCCATAGTCCTCCTGTATAAATTTGGATAAGTCACACAGTTCCCCATCTATGTAATGACAGTGTATAGCAGGCTTCCCTACTTCACCAGGATATTAGGAGGATAAAGACTGAATTCCCCAGTATTGTCTTAATGGGTCCCACATAAACAACTAAAACAGAGGGTTCCTAGAATACCTGTTTTTACTCAAGGGCAGAAAATGGGAGAGGGTAGAGGGAAATAACACAGAAATAAATGACCTAAGAGAAAAGGAAAAGCAGAAATAAGTACAGAAATTTATAATGTGCTAGCCATTTTTAAAAAATCAATATTACTCAACAGCTCACAGCAATGTCTTAGTCTAAACATAAAGGAAAAACTGAGCAATGGGCAAACCTAATGATTTTTTAACAGCAATCTTCACGTTTCTGTGAAGTATTAAAATTGTGAAGCTATGTCTCAGAAATAGCCTAATTTTTGTAACATTTAAATACTATTTTTGTATCATCTCTATTCTACATGTCACAACCTTCCAAACTAATGTATTAAGCAGTTAATTCCAGATAAGCAATTAAAACAATACCACAGTCCCTTTAAAGGTACAGAACTTGCAAACAACTGCATTTATTAGTGTTTGTGGATTTGTTTATTCTAGGGGGGGGTTGAGCAATCTCTTTGTACATTTCCTATTCTCTATAAAGCCCATTTCATCATACCAAGAATACAGGACTGAAAACAAACACCACACACACATGTGGATGCAGGATTGGGACCTAGTTTATAAAAAATAGTTGCCTTTTTAGCATGTACTTGTCTTCAGTCAGTCTGTCAGTGAGACATTTTTCATAGATTTCATAGATTTCATAGACATTAGGGCTGGAAGGGACCTCGGAAGATTGAGTCCAGCCCCCTGCCCAAAGGGCAGGAAGTCAGCTGGGGTCATAGGATCCCAGCAAGATAAGCATCCAGTTTGCTCTTGAAGGTGTTCAATGTAGGCGCTTGAACCACCTCCGGTGGCAGGCTGTTCCAGACCTTGGGGGCTCGGACAGTAAAGAAATTCTTCCTTATGTCCAGCCTGAAAC